GTTCCCAAGTCTCCTTCCAGACTCCTGCCCCTCACATTTACCCCCTACTCCCCAAATTCTGCCTCTGCCCACCCTGGATTCTGTTTATAATATAGACAGTTTAAAACTTTGTCTGTACATGTGCTGAACCTTCTCTTGTATCTTTATTTCCTTCTTTCCCACAAAAAAAGGTTTGTGATGTTTCAAAAAATACTATTAATCTGCTGATTGTGTAGAATTCCATAGCTGTTGAGATTTTTTTTGTTTCATTGTAATTACTAAGCACTTTGTGCTGCATTCATTTGTTCTTTTTTTTTTTTTCATAATGTTCATTTTAGCTTTAAGATAAGTAAAGCATGGAAATCTCAGTTTCTTCCACATGGGAAGAAGCACTGCTGGAACAAATTTTGCTACTCTCAACTGTATTGCACTTTTGTCTTAGGGAACATTTGATTGAGAGCCAGTAGATGCTGCATTTCAGTAAGTTCATTGAGTAGAAATAAATCTAGTTTTTTATACATGTACAATTATGTGTGTGTAATCAACAGGAAAAAATGGTACAATGCTAGCAGCACCGTTATAAACCCAGTATGGACTTCAGTCTTATTCGTGGAGCACCCTGACAGTGCTGGTCAGCAAAGCCATCGTCCTTTCCCCATACAAATTCATCCATGATACCTATAAGAAATCAGACAACTGAAACCTGTTTATTTTTTAAAATCCTCTTTACCCACCATGCTGTTTACTAGCCCTGCTAGCTGAGTCACCATCTACTTTTACTGTGGCTTTTGCGCACACACCTTTTTAAGTGATGGTCTTTTTATAAGCATTTTTATTACAGGCAGTCCCTGGGTTACGTACAAGATAGGGACTGTAGGTTTGTTCTTAAGTTGAATTTGTATGTAAGTCGGAACTGGTACATATTTTGGGGGGAGGGAGGGAGCTGGAGTTAGGTGGAAAAGACCCTGATTCTCATACAACTTCCTTATTCTAAGAAAAACACATCCTGTTTTGATATGAAGGTTTTTTTGGTTGATATTTTAATTAAAAATCGATCATAAGTTTCATTGTGTCATGCTATATCCAAATCTTTCTTTTGGGGTACCTGAAAGATCCCAGTTATTCATTTAATAGTCAGAATCTTTGTTTTTTATAACTAAAAAAAGTTTATTCAATGCATATTACTGTTCCAAATAGAATTTGCTACAGATGGTTCAGTGAAATGGGTATTAAGTGTAATCAATAGTCATTGGAGAGCACAGTGAAATATTGATACAATCAAAGCTGTTGTATTCTGCTGAGCAGAAAATGGAAATCCCTTCCTGTGAAGTGTGTGTGTGAATTTATCCACAGGATTAATTTTAAAGAAAAATTCTGTGTTGGGAACAGGAGTTTAGCCACAGGTGGGTCCTCATTGTCCACTCACCCACTTTGCAACCAGACCCATCCCCTCGGGGCTTACCCTGCTCCGCTCCAGCCAGGGTGTTGGGTTGAGGCTTATCCCCTCTTCCCTTCTGTCCTGCTCCTCCCCATTCTTGCCCACCCACACCACTGGGTAATTTTTCAGCTTCACCTCTGCCAGGCTGGAAGGGACTTGTTAATTTCACGTGATGCTAACAAGATACTTGCAGCTCTAGTGCTGAAGAGGAAAAGAGCTGTTGCTCCCAAGGTGGGGACAGTAACACAATGGGTCTCACTGCCTGCTGCTCCTGCTGTTCCCTAGGAAATTAATTTTTCCGCTCTGGGGTGCCCCCTTTTGGCTGGTGTCTTGTTCCCCCCAGCAGACCTGTGTCCTCCGCGGTGAGAAAAGCCGCTCCCTAGCTCCGAGTCTCCCTGGTCTGCTGGAGGGAAGCGCCCCCTGCACCGCCGGAGGCGGCGACAGTGGGGGGGGGACCCCGCACTAGCTGCGCCTCCCCCACCCCCGTATGTAACTAGGGATCCGACGTAAGTCGGATTGATGAAACCCAGGGACTGCCTGTATCTTAATTTTTGTCTATGGTAACACCAAAAGATTCGCTGTTAACTGTTGTGTTAGATGCTCACAAACACAGTAATGGACATAATCATTGTGCTACAGATCTTACAACTCGTTGCTGCAGTTAGATCAGTGTTGAGCCAATGGGACTCTGCATAGGAGGATCTAGCATGAAGACCTAAATTTCTCTTCGGTAGTGGTTTGGGCTTATTTTAGGAGTAGTCACAGGTGATACAAGATTACTCAAGATAGGTAAGTACTAAGCTAGTTGTGAAGAGTAAAGATCTCACTAAAACAGGGCAATAAAATGGCAGATACAATTCAGTGTTAAGTGCAAAATAATGCACACTGGGAAATAATTCAAGCTATACGTACAAAATAACAGAATGTAAATTAGCTGATACCACTTTAGAGAGATCTTGGAGTCCTTGCCCACAGTTCTCTGAAAATATCAATTCAATGAGCAGTGTTAGTTGACAAGCTAGCAGAATGCTAGGAACTATTAGGAAAGAGAAAGATAGTAAAACAGAAAATATATATAATGCCACTGTATAAATCCATGGTATGCTCACACCTTGAATATCGTGTGCAGTTCTGGTTGCCCCTTCGCAAAAAAAAACCTATATTAGCATTGAAAAATGTGGAGGAAAGGGCAACAAAAATTATTAGGGATTTAGAACAGCTTCCTTACAAGGAGAGATTTTAAAAAAAACAAACTATTCAAGCTTTGAAAAGAGACAACTTAGGGAGGATCTGATGGAGAGTTATGAAACCATGAATGGTATGAAGCAAGTGAATAGGATAAATAACATTTCCTATCACATAAAACAAGAACTGTGAGTCAGCTGATTAAATTAATAGGCAGCAGGTTTAAAGCAAACAGCTTCTTCACACAATGCAGTCAACCCATGGAACACATTGCTATAGGATGCTGTGAAACCAGTTTTATTTTTGGCTTTCAAAAAATTAATAAATTTGTGGAGGATAGGTTCATCAGTGGCTATTAAGCAAGGAACACGACGACCCATGTTTTGCGTATCTAAACCTCCTAATGCCAGAAGCTGGGACTAAACAAGAAATGGATGATTTGAAATTATCTGGTTCTATCCATTCTTTCTGAAGTGTTTGTTACTGGCCACTTGTCAGAGACAGGATACTGGATGAGATGGACAGTTGGTCTGACCTGGTATGGCTGTTCTTACATTCTTAAGTTCTTATGGTTAAATCTCTGTTGTTAAAATCAGTTGACCATTTAAGGAAGACGTGCTTTTTTGGGTTTGGCCAAAGCAAATGCTAGATGGGGAAAAACTCATTGTAAACATAGCTTTATGAGAACAGTAGTACACACTTGAAACCTGCAGATCGCAAATGCAGGTGAACCATTATAGTACTGCTCATAAAATGACAACTGGTTGCCTTTACACTTCTGTAAAGATCAAGTGTTTGTAGTTGTGTTTTTAAAGACAGGTCCTTAGTAGATCAGAATTGAAGTAGAAGATATGTCATTGATCTGTGACCTGTGCTTTATTTCCTTATGAATACAGAAATACACAAAGACCAATATATTGTAAAGCGATTAACTTAAAACTTCTGGCTATGATTCTAGAAAAGGAAGTGGAATCATGGAATAAATGGCAGTCACACTAAACAGGGAAATATCTATATGTCCTTGTCTTTATTTAGTCTGTCTTTTAGGCTGTTACTTTCTGCTTTTGTTCCCATCTCATGTTTTCTTTTTGTCCGTTTATCCTTTCTTTAGCTCGTAAGCAGGAGATCATCAAGGTTACAGAGCAGCTGATTGAAGCTATCAACAATGGGGACTTTGAAGCTTACACGTAAGATGTCTCATTTTGCAAGTAGCAAGATAAGATACATGTATAAAAATGTGCATCCTTATAGTCCTTGAGAAAACGTACAACCTGCTTCACGGCTGTATTGCACAAGTCACGCACTGGTGTGAGGGCAGATTTCTGTAGAGTTACATTAGGAGAAACATGGAGTAATACCATAGTGAATGTGACCCGTTATCGCTATGTAACATATACCACGATCTCTTTCTGCAAGCAGAGAGGAGAGAATGTTCATGATTTAAAAATCTAAGAATCAAGATCAAAATACACTGGAAAAATGTTTTGACAGAAACATTTCAGTATAAACTGGGATTCTGTGTCACCAGAATTCCATCTGTCGCATCATAATACATTAATGCCTCTTGGGGCTCATTTACATGGAGAGCTAGTACAAAGCAAGCCTGGGTATGACTCTGCAGCACACTCACTTACCATGCAGTAACAGGACATGTGGGCCTTGCTGCCAAGCACTAAAAGTTATGTAATACACTTTGACATATCCCCAGCCATCTCATTTTACATTGCAGTACATTGAAGCGCACTATGAAACGCCTAGTATGTGGTAGCAGGGTCCATGTAGCCAATAGTCTCACTATAAAATAGAAAGGCTGTCTACATGATTTCGCTGAAAACTAAGTGCTACTATGTAAGTGGAACTATTTTGTCTCGAAAATTGATGGGGACAGATACTTTTCCTTGCAGTTTCACAAGACCACCATATTCCCTGAGTCCCTCTCCCCCAAAGTTATAACATAAGTTCCCGTTTCTCAGCACTCCCTTAAATAAAAAGGTAAGACCCTTAGCACTTACTTTGGCCTTCTACCACCTTCCCATTTTGTGCTCTACCAGTCTGTCTTCAGAAATTTTATTCAGAAACCAAGGCATCTTCTGCTTAGTCATTTTAAATATTCCATTTTAAAAATAACCCTTTAGATAGTTCTGTTTTTTCCTTACTCTAATCCATTAAAATGTCTTTAGAACAAAAATTATATTTTATTTAAAGTTAAAGGTCTAGAACTAAAGGTTCTATTTCAGCTCATGCTAAAGGTTTTAGAATAGTTGAAATAGGAAAGTAATATTCCTATGTGACAGTGACAGATTACCAGTAATATGCCTTTACTTGGTACAAGCACTTTATATCCTTCGACTGTAACAAAAATGTCAAATGGAAATTTGATCAACACTTTTCTGTTTTGCAGTATGCCAGAACTCAGGCCTTAGAAACATCTAACCAAAATTAAATTATCATTGAAATATTGGTAACCACATTAGTTTTCGACTTAACAGATCATACAGCTGACCCTAAAGATGTGACAAAGATCCCACTGACTTCATTGGGACCAAGATTTCATCCTTCATGCCTGTATGTGTTGTGTTGTGTTCCAGCATGATACATTCCCTCTTGGAATAACAAATAGGAAAGCAAGGCAGACAGAAATAATAATTCCCGTGTTTATTGATGGATTACAGAATTTCACACACATGGTATTTGTTTCACAGGTTGATTTGTATGAGGTCATATGCCTTTGAGCTCAATCATATTCTGCAGTTGAACAAACTAGATAGAGGATGAATCTTTTGTTCTGGGTTATCATGCAACAAATAGAATGCCATCTCCTTTAAATCTCAGATGGAGAGGGCTGCTTTATTGTTTGTTTTAATTGTCAAAATAGTAGACGTTACGGTGGCAAATAGTATTCCTGTGGGGAAAGTCGCTAATTAGAAGTTTTCCATCATTCTTGGGAATAAGACCTGTGAGAATAAATCAGCATTCATGAGCCCAGCTCTGCCTGCCTTAAGAGAAGAAAATCTGGAAAGGAAAAACAAACATGGTAGGAATGGGTGGCTCTTTGAGCAGTAACCCCATGGGCGCACTATTTCACATGCATGCACCTTTGATCAGAGATTTTAATTAGCATGCATTCAGCCCATGCATTTACTTCTGATATCCTCATGCCCTGCAGTGAGTACAGGTGAACCACCCTCAATTCCTTCTGTCATCTCAGCTTCAAATGAATGGTAGCATTTCTGTGTTAAGTGCCTCAGCTGAGTTCATTCTACTCAGTTTAGTTAGTAGTAGTATTTAGTTACTGGCTGTTGAGGGATCATTTTATTTCCTCCAAAGAAATCGTGCTTGTGAGGAACATGCCCAGTTCATCAGGGTTTAAACATTGCCTCACCTATAGAGAGACTGAGAGAAGAAAAGAAACAAATACCAACCCTCACAGTTGTGGCCCCCAACTGAGAGAGAGAAAGGCACTCCCCACATTCCCCTTGCTCACCAGAATCTAGGAGGGCCCAGGCTAGTAGATGTTGTGTGCTCCATCCCAGCAGTGTGGGGAGGTTGCAGTGCCAGTGTAGGCTCTCCAATGCTGGAGGGGGAGCCCTGAGCCACAGGGGCTGGATTCAGGCAAGCCAGAGACTGCATCTGCCCCCCAGACCTGAGATTCCCCATCCCTGCTTTAGATACCCAAAGGACTTATCAGTGACTTCTGACCAGAGTCTGTTGGCAGTTACTGAGCATTCCTTGGTATCAAGAATCTCTTGGTGTCTGACCCCTTATACATCCCTGGTGTCATCACGTTTCTTTTTAGTTGGTGCTCCGCATTAGAGGAAGGAGATAGAAACCTCTCTTCAGTATACTGAATCTCTGTTCAGGGTTCTCCTGCATGCCTATGTATGAACTGCCTTTCTCTGCAAGACAGAGAAGATGTTTGGGGACCTCCTCATTCCTGGATGCCACCCTTATCCTTCTTATGGTCCTCAATGCCCATATTGGCATCCGAAGGCAACTTATCACTGACGACTCTGCAAGGTCCTAATCCTTTCCCATCAGGATGATAGGGAGGATTAAGATTCTCCTCCCCAGAGACAGGAGAAAATGTTTGAGGTTCAAGAGATTTAAGTGGACAAAGAAGCACCCCCTATACCTACCATCTTTTCGTTTTCACCAGATGTGACCGTAATCTCTCCTCCTCCATCTACAGCTGATTATACTTGGCAGCTTTGAGACCTCATTAAATAGTTGGCAGATTCCCTCTTGAGGAGCTCAAAATTCACTCTGCAACATCTTCCAGAGTCCTCTTCCTATCAACAAGGCTCTGCTGGAGTCTGCAAAAATTGACAAACCCCTGCCACAGTAACACATGACTCTGAGCTCCTGTTTTCTCACATTCCACCTAACACACTGGTGATTGATGTGGTGCATAGCCAGGGCAAACACCAATATAATCCACCCCATAAGCCCCAGCAGTGCCTGGACTTTCAGGAGAAAATCCTACTCATCAGCAACCTACAATTCTGCATTGTAAATTACCAGGTGCTCATAGCCATAAGAACAGCCATACTGGGTCAAACCAAAGGTCCATCTAGCCCAGTAGCCTGTCTGCTGACAGTGGCCAGCACCGGGTGGACCGAAGACAATGATCAAGCGATTTGTCTCCTGCCATCCTTCTCCAGCCTCTGACAGAGGCCAGGGACACCATTTCTGTCCCCTGGCTAACAGCCTTTTATGGATCTAACCTCCATGAAATTATCTAGCTTCTCTTTAAACTCTGATATAGTCCTAGCCTTCACAGCCTCCTCTTGCAAGGAGTTCCACAGGTTGACTACATGCTGTGTGAAGAAGAACTTTCTTTTATTAGTTTTAAACCTGCTACCCATTAACTTCATTTGGTGTCCTCTAGTTCTTCTATTTAGGGAACTAATAAATAACTTTTCTTTATCTGCCCTCTCCATACCACTCATGATTTTATATACCTCTATTATATCCCCCCTCAGTCTCCTCTTTTCTAAACCTGAAAAGTCCCCCGCAGCATTTGCAATTCCGAAGTGTCTCATTAGCATCCCTTTTACGGAAAAGGGTGCCAGTGTAGACACAGCCGAGTTGTTTGCAGAGAACACAAATAAGTTGTTACATACTCTTAAAAGATTGCAGAGACATATTATGTTCATTAGGCATCCACATTCCTGCCAAAAAAATGGCAGATTGCAAGTATCTCAATAATCCCAGACAAACAGAACTTCTAATTTAGAGACATAAGTTCCAGAGGAAAAGATCCTCTAACCCCACCCTACACAAGTTTGCAACTGTCTTCATCTTTGAAACATGAGTTTTGATGGGGTGGGCAAAGCTTTATACTCTATCTCATTGGTTTGTCAGCTTCAGTGATTTGCCTACTTCCCTCTGTTTGGGGACCTCCTATTTCCAGCTAGTATAGTAGCTTATCACCTTGGACAAACGGGAGCTGAAAATATTGTTGGGCTACCCCATTGATTTTACTTACCTTCCTTCTCCTTATTCCTCTTCCCCATTCCTCTTCAGAAAATCTTCTCAAGTTCCTGCCAAGATAGAAAATAAACTTCCTTGTTTGTTTAGGAGCAGTAGAGCCAATCCCTACTCAGCCCAGCAGTTTCTATTTGAGATTTCTCATGCCTAAGAAAAAAAGACCAAATTTAGATCTAAAACTCCTGTGAGGAGTCAGAAGTTCAGGGTGGTGTCTCTCTTGGCTATAATTCCTTCTCTGGATTCAGGGAACTGATTTTAGTCCCTGAAGCTTCAAAGCACATAATTCTGTATAGAAATGTAACCATCCAACACAAGGTTCCTGCATTTTGCCATAGGCCAGAATAATTTTCTGTACTCCTCTTTCGTCTCTCTTCAGTTCTGAGAGTGTTCTCAAAGGTTTCGTCATTGGTGACTACCTACCTGCAATCATATTATTCTAGGGATGTTAAATATCAAGTAATTGACTAATTGAATAGTCAATGCATTTTGCATCAACTATTTGATTATTCAATAGGGCATCTCTGCAGTGTAGGAACAGCCCTAGGTCTGTTGCTATGCTTCAAAGGCGAAAGTACCACATGGAACCCGGAACCCAAGGCTCCATGTGGTACTGCCTCTTTGAAACAGTGTGTGCAGCCTGACACCAGGCTCCCTGCGGCACTGCCGCTTTGAAACGCTGTGTGCATTCTACGCACACCCCAGCTGCCCCCCCCTTACTGCCTCTTTCTGATGGGGGGGTGGGGGGGGGAGAACGACTAGTCAACTAACCGATAAGCATTTGCTTATCGGATTGTTGACCAGTTTTTCACATTCCTATATTATTTTTCTCCCTCAGTGATTGCTTGCTCAAGGGTCAAGCATACAAAGTGTTCTCTGTCACATGGAAAGCACTTTCTTGGTTCTTGGACTTGGGCCTTCAATTGAACATGGAAAAAATCCACACTAACTCCCATTCAGAACAATTAATAGAGGAATTCCTGGATTCACTGGCATCCAAGGCCTTCTTCCCCATGAACAGATTCATGACACTATCAAACCTTGTCAAACTATTCACAGAAGTCCTCAGATTTAAGTCAAAAATTACACGCAGCTTCTAGGTCACATGGCAGATTGCACTTTTGTGATAGAGTCTGTGAGTTTGTTTCATTGTTTCCAGGGGTAGCTCAGATCAGTTTACTTACCAAACACAGGTTTCCTTGTCAAATGCTCACTAGGCTAGCGGGGGGAAGTAAGGCGGGGGCAGGCCCCTGGGTGGGCCACCGCTATATTTACCTGTGCCTCTGCAGGTATGGAAGATTGCAGCTCCCGTTGGTCCCCGATCACTGTTCCCAGTCAGTGGAGCTGAAGGAAATGGCTCATACTGAGATACTGCTTCCTGCAGCTCCCTTGTCTGAGAACAGTAATCCATGGCAAACAGGAGCTGCACTCGCCTGTACTTGCGGAGGTGCGGGTAAATACAGCAGCAACGGTCCATTGGGGCTAATCCTGGCAAATCAGATCCGGTCTGTGGACTGGTATTTTTCCCACTGCTGCCTTAGACTGACAATTCATTGTGATTTAGAGGCAGGGGTCCCCTTTCTTCCAACTGACACTAATGGCAACTATATCCATGGCTACTTCAGATAGCATGGGAGGGGGAGGGTGTACAGTACCATGATGGTCACCCCAGGAAGCCACCTTCAATATCAAGCTTTTGGAGTGGACAGAAATGCCTGTCTTTATTTTCTACCCCTCATCAGACACAGGTCTATTAAAGTCATGACTGACAATATGGCCTTCATGTTCAATATCAGTCATCGGGGAGGTGTGAAATCCTCCCACTGTGCCAAAATAAAAATGTTATGGAACTGGTATATAGAACATAGCATAAGAATTTCAGTAATGTTCTTTCCTGGGCAGGTAAAATGTGACAGCTGATGTTCTCAGCAGGTTTCCCCCTGCCCCTCACCAAGATTACAAGTTAGAGTTGAATTCCCAAGTTCTTGTTGGCATATTTCAGGCTTGGGGTTTCCCAAAAGTGGACCTCTTTGCCACAGCTTTGAAGAAAACATTCCTTGTGCTCTATTCAAGGGGAGGTTTAGTTCCATCTGGGAAATGCCTTTTCTCCTCATTTGGATGAATTTACAGTGTTTTCCTACAATGCCTCTGAATAAGTGGAAAGAAAATTGGACAGACAATACCAGAGTTGTCATAACAGCCTGAATGTAGTTAAGGTAGGCATGGTCTCCATACCTACTTAGCCTAGCTCTTAGTCCAACAACAAATACTCAGTTACTCCTTAGCTTCTCTTCCAAGAGGCCAGTCAACTGGTGCAATCCAATCTGAGCATTCTTCATCTCAAGTTGTAGCTCCTCAATGGTTTGTGAGGTTAACATCTGTTCTGCAGAGGTGCAGAAAATACTGATAAATAGCAGGAAAGATTCTATGAGAAATACCTGAAGAAGTGGAGAAGATTTAGTCACTGGTGTGAACTCCAGAATTCTGCCCTGCATTGAATGTCGCTTAGTTCTCTCAAGATTCATTTGGCTGCCTTACCAGGTTTTCCCACCACTGTTGAGGGGTTCTAGCTTTGCTTGCCCTACAGCTCTAAGGTTCATGAAAGGTCTGAGCAATCCCTGTTCCCACTGGTGAAAGTCCTCATCTCAGTTTGGAACCTTAGCTTGGTTTTTAAAAATCTCCTGATGGTAACTTGCTCCTTACTGTAAATTTGTATAAAAACAACTTCTCCTTAGTGGCTATAACATCAAATGCAGAATCAGAGAGACTGAAGCCTTAATGGCAGGCCCTCCTTTCGCAGTATTCTACACTCCAGATTTCTTTCTACAATGTCTTTTGAGTTTCATAGGAATTAGATCATTCACCAACAAGTGTTCCTTCCAAAATCCATAATGCCAACCTAGACATGGAGACCATCTTCCCCACTTGATGTCAGAAGACATTAGCCTTCTACTTACATACAACTAAATAATTTTGTAATTCTCCTGGACTATTGGTTTTGTTTTTCAGACAGATATAAAGGTTCTGCTTTTTCTACCCCAAGACCATTACGATAGATTTCTGGATGTATTATTATTTGTTACAATGCTGCCAGCATTCTAATCCATGCTTGATGAGGTCACAGTCTGCATCCCAGCCCTGCTTTAGAAAGTCCTAGTATTTAAGATCTGCAGAGTTGCTAAATGGTCTTTGGTACATAGCTTCTCCAGGTACTATGCTTTATTTGATGCCTCGAAATGATGCGGAAGTTGGCAGTGCAGTTCTCTCTGATGGACTTGATTCAAAAGCTCTTTTCTATGTATGGGGCTACTGCTCAGGAGTCACTTGAAGTGGCGCACACCCACAAGAATGCTACTTGAAGAAAGAGTGGTTACTCACCTTTGGAGTTTCCTTCTGAGACTCAGCTGTGGAGAAGGAACTAATAGCAGCTTGCCCACAGCCTGATACAGCATCAGTGCAAGGCACAAGAGTATTAGCAGTGCATGCAGGGGTGAAACAAACACTGCTAATTAAAATCTCCCAGAAAAGGCACACACTAAAGTAGAGCTCCCATAGGGAGACATCTTGAAGAACTACGGTGAGTAACTTTTCTTTCTGTTCTGGGAACTCAGGGTTCTAGTTGGTAGACTGCATTTCTTCAAACTTTCTTTTTGACATGACTATGTATAATTTTCACTCTACTATTCCTGCCCCTCAGACTTCTTCGTACATAGTTTCTGCTTCACTCTTACACTTTCTGCTCCAGAGTTGCCTCTGGTATAAATATCCTCCAGCTTTCCCTGAACCCCATCATAATAATCAATTAGAGTCTGAATTCCCTCATTCTGCAGATTGTAAGTGTTAGGGGTGGGAAATCCCAGTATTGAGGATTCCTTTGGTCTCAAATATCAGAGGGGTAGCCGAAGTTAGTCTAAAGGTGCCACAGGACTCCTCGCTGCTTTTGGTCTCAAAGATATCACAAAGAAAGTTGTTCTGTGCTACATCTGAAAGTGACTAAACATTTGTCAACATTTAATTTTCTCATCCACAGGAAGATCTGTGATCCAGGTCTTACATCTTTTGAACCTGAAGCTTTGGGGAATCTGGTGGAAGGGATGGACTTTCACAGGTTCTACTTTGAAAATGGTGTGTTCCTATTCAGTCATATTTTAAATACTTCCAAGTATGTTTTTTAAATACAGCTCTTTTTTGTAGCTACCTATGATGTTTTAGAAATTTCATTTTGAGTTGTGCAGTTTTTCATGTTTCTGCTAAACTTGCTTAGGAACCACAGGGAACTTTTGATTGTGGATGGAATTTTCAAGTTCATGTAGTTATTTTAGAGGGGACGGGGAGGAGAAAGGTGAGGAGAGAAATGGAGGGACAACTAAAAGTCAAATAAGATTGGAAGGTAAGTGATTCCCACTCTTCATTTTTCAGATCTAAGGCACTGAATAGCACATTACTTGAAAAGTCTGCATTGGTGGACCTTGTCAGCATTACCTAACATTTGATGATTATTCTTTCTTACATTATGTCTAAGGAAAAAACTAAAGCCACTGTGCTGATTCATGCTAGCTGAGGCCCTTGGCCTCAAGACTTTTTAAGTGGTGATCGCAGCATCTCAGTGGATTTAGTACAACTACGTCAGCTTCAGAAAAGAAAAGCTGCATATCGGGGAATAAAATACACTGCTTACTTGTTAATACAATGGACTGTCATGGTAGAAATGACTCAGTTTCAGAACAGTTTTAAAACTCTGAGAGACTCAATTAACTAATGATACTGATTTTTCTCATTCATCAATTTCTGAATGAGAAATGTCAGAGCACAAGATTAGCTCCAGGGACTCCTGATTTCTAATCTCAATTCTGAGATGCTCCCATTGTGTATTGTGAATACATAATTGAATATCAACGACTCAGTTTCTCCATCTGTACAGATATTAATAAAAATGTAGCATATCTTAGAACTAAAGAAAATGTCATGAATGCATGGTAAGCTGAAAACTACTAAATGCAAAAATGTTATCACATTAACTCAGATGGGAGGTGTTGGATGGGCATCTAGAAGTTGCTCTTATTTATTGTCTTTTAAATGGAAAGGATTTGGGTTACTACCTCAGTGTTACTAAGTTAGAAATGAGAACTGTAAGCATTTAGCATTGTCTTGTTACTGCTATGATCTACAGGCCCTTAACAGTGAGTGGGTACTTTAGCCCACTTGTCGCTTGGGGGCAGAACCAAACTAGTCAGTCACTGACAACAGGGGAATGTCCTGCCCCCTCAAGTGGCCTCCACTTGCCTTCCCCCACCCCATTCTTCTGCGGTCGATGGCTCAGCTAGACTAGCCCTGCAGCAGGGCTTTTTGGAAGGAAATTGCACATTTGATTTTGAGTTCGGAGACAGTGCAGCTCAATAATGTGTGTATCAAATTCCCAGCTGTCTCCCACAGCTGTTTGGTTTTGGGAGAGATTGTCCTCTCAGCTCCATTGCCTTTCTGAAGTATTTGCAATAGCTAGGGCCCCTGCATATTATAGGGAGAGAGCGAAGCCAAGAAAAATGAGAAACAAAAGGAAGGGGTCTGTGTCTCCTGCTCTCTTCTTATTGCGAATTGAGTTGGGTAGCTTAGCTAGCTCTTTGGGCAGAGAGCAATTTTTTCCTCTGCCTAGCTAGAAAGGAAACAATCCGGATTGGAAAAGGGCTGACTCTTAAGCTTTCCTTTCTCCAAAATGGCATAGAAGCCAAAAGTACAGCATGCCAGAAGCACATGGGATCCTGTGGTTGGATCAACTCCAAACGTACTAGTTTTGGGGCAGAGATGGGATTTGGCACAGGTTTGTGATGTTGGTGAGAAAAATGGGATTTAAGGATTTGCTTGTTTTTCACACCACTGCATCACAACCTACCCCTTCTGTGAACAGGCTGCTGCATGGATCCAACCACATAATCCCACATATTTCTAAACCCCAGGGTATTGTTTCTAACTCTGGGTCTCTTAAGCACACTATCCAGTGCAAACTCTATGTATGACACTCGTCTTGGGCAATGAGTCCCTGGAATCCAGCTGCCTTAGACTTCAGAACCAGTGTCCCCACCCATCCAGGCTTCCCAATGCTTAATCCCATTCCTCCAGAGTCTACCTGGCTCTGGGAGCTCTGGTTTCTTGATTAACTCCTTCAGGGACAATGTGGAAGGAAGACAGGCTTTTAGGCTTGCCAGATGGTTTAACAAAAAATACCAAGCCTCCTTACCCCCCCAAAAAACACCAGGGAAACAATTCTGTCGAAGCGGGAAAAAAAGGGGGGAGACTAAAGTTGTCAAGGAAAAACAAAAAAAGCCCCCCAGAACAGAATTGTTGAGCAAAAATAAAGAGGATGGAGAGAGGCTGTTCTCAGTAGTGACAGATGACAGAACAAGGAGCAATGGTCTCAAGTTGTGGTGGGAGAGGTCCAGGTTGGATATTAGAAAAGACTATTTCACTAGGAGGGTGGTGAAGCACTGGAATGGGTTATCTAGGGAAGTAGCGGAGTCTCCATCCCTAGAGGTGTTTAAGTCTCTGCTTGACAAAGACCTGGAGGGGTTGATTTAGTTGGGATTGGTCCTGCCTAGATCAGGGGGCTGGACTTGATGACCTCCTGAGGTCTCTTCCAGCTCTATGGTTCTATGATTCTAGTGTTGAGGGAGGCATCACATGGCCAGCTCCCGGGTCTCTGCTGGTCACGTGGGCCAGAGCAGCGTGCACTCTACTCCCACCCCAGCCCACCGCCCCCCCTAGCTTGGTGCCCGGCAAGTGTCCCCTTCTGCCCCCCTTCGCTATGCCTCTGCTGTGCTCCTCACTCTCCTGCCCCCGCCAGAGGCGGCAGGGGAAAATTGTCCCCACCGGACTTCTGTCCCAGGGAAACCAGAAATAACTGAAATTTCACATGTCCGGTATTTCCTGGGTTTTTTGTTTGTTTTGTTTTTTGTTTTGTTTTTACCGGATGGAGCTTGCAAATACCGTACTGTCTGGGTGATACCGGGCACCTGGCAACCCTACAGGCTTTGCAAAGGGATTTGTTAACCACAGCATTTTGCTCTTAAACCACAGAAGAGTTATAGATCTTTGCAAAATAACAGACAGTCCTGAATGTGCTTTCCCTAAGTCTGACTCTCCCTCCTCCCCCCTCGAGTCCAAAGTCAGTGTGCATAAGGTAGGGAGCCCTTCCTGCTTTATCTTTCCTCTCACCCTTTTCTTCTAGCATACAGCAGGAGACTAACCCTTTGCTCAATGTAGCATCTACCTTTTAATAACAGCTTCTGCCCCTCTTGTTGCCTGGCTCAGAAAATGCCGTGATCCACCCATTATATGAACTGCACATCAGCTTCCTTCAAAGACAATGGCCTTACCAGTAGATGCTTTAATCCACAAAGGCTGTTAAAGAGCAAAGTAGAGCCCCTGAAACATAACACGGAGTTCACAATATAACACCTAGAGATCCCAAATCACAGCAATTGATTCTGTTTTTACATGTCGTTTTATTACAGTTTCTAAAGTACTTTATATAATATAATCACACAATTAAGGCATTTGGTAGCGGATTGCACTACTGAGCTAGAACCACCAAATAAGATGAAACACGTGAAGATTACTTTGGATAATAATCATGTTGAAATCTGGCCAAAGACTTTGAGATCATTTCAACAGAAATCACATTGGAAATAAGAAATGTCAACTAAAAATGAAGAAAAAAAAAGAAATGTATAGCCAGAAGGATCAGGAATAGGAATAATGCAAATATATTACTATGAGCAGAGCTAAGGTGCTAACTAATAACCTCACTTCTAAAAGTAAACAACAAAGTGAACAAAGGCAAGTGAACATCATAATTACACTTCCTTCTTTTATGTCTTTATTATGCAAGAGATCTCAAGATTGGTCAGGGTTTAAAAGCAGACAATTAGTGTAATTTATTTGGGACGTAAGTATATAAACCAATGTAACTTCAGAATGCTTTTCTGGTAGGAGAGAGGAGAACATGCTTCATCTCTTTCATGCTACTCCCTTCCCACTTGTGGGACTCTTTTTTTGCTAGTTTTGCTTGCTTATCAGTAAAATAGTGTTTAGAATTTAGCATCTGCTAATCTTGATATTTTACACACTATTCTGTGTACTGAGGGACATAACTACCTCTGTTGGTTTACTTGGAGAAAATGACTTTGTGTGTGTTTCCTCCCATAGCTTTGTCCAAGAGTAATAAGCCAATCCATACCATTATCCTCAATCCCCACGTCCATCTTGTGGGTGATGATGCTGCCTGCATTGCCTACATACGGCTGACGCAGTATATGGATGGAAGTGGAATGCCAAAGACTATGCAATCTGAGGAGACCCGGGTCTGGCACCGCCGTGATGGCAAATGGCAGAATGTCCATTTTCACCGTTCAGGGTCACCAACAGTTCCGATCAAGTAAGAAATCTGTACAAACAGTATTAAATAAGGGGTTAGGATGGTCTGTTATGTAAAAAGTCAAACCAGATGATCTAAAGGTCCCTCCTGGCCTTAAACTTTATAAAACTTTCATTCTTTTGAAAATACCATTGCAACATAGCTTCTGCACTGTCAGTTCTGAAAAGTCAGTTTAATAATTCAGTATGCTGCATACAGTATTAGTGCAAATATTTGTAATTTGTTGTTTGCTTACAATCATTCACATTTAAACTTAGGGCTTCACTGTGCTGAGTGTTGTACATACCCATACTAAGGGCACATACAAGTACTTACACATAGAAAGTGTTTTAATTTTAGGCCTCAGTATTAATTTAGACTCCTCTTTCTACTTTCAGGGTATCAGTTAATCCTTTGACTCTTCCTCTACCACATCTTGAAAGTCCTTCTTTTTCACCCTCACAGCTAAAAAGTACTTGTGCTTATTTCTGTTGGTGATCTTCTGCCTTGATTACAACACTCTCTTCCTCCCTTGCCTTCCCTGTTTTTCTCATTGACCCAATCTAGCCAAAATATTGCTGTGGTAATAATCAATTTTATCTGCTCCCTTCACAACTTTGATTCTCTCAGCTGTCATTCTGTTTTGGTGTCATGTTCAGATCTCTTGTCCTCACTCTCGAGGCTCAGACTGAGTCCATTCATGGCGACAGCTCTACTCTAATTTCTTTATTTTTTAACTCTAATTTTCCTTTTCCACATAACTTCTCTGTATGTTTCTCTCTTGTATGCCTTTGTGCTAGTCTTTATACATAGCATTGCCATCTTCCTTTGGTCCCCATCCATTACCTTCTCTCCTTACAACATACTTCTTCCTCATAGCCTGGCAGTGTCAGGCTATCAAGTAGTGGAATATAATAATAGAACAAAGTGCTGTTAAACTTTAAAAGCTTAATGAATGCTTTTTTAGAGTGACCCATCTCCTGGCCTTATCTGTCAATCGATATGTTTGTACAATAGTGTTTATTTTAAAAATATAAGTACATTGGCAGGGGCCTTATCTTCCTCTGTTTTGCACTGCTCCAAGCACACTGCCAGTGCTCAACAAAGTATGTTTAGTATTAACAGAAAATGAGAAATGTTGGTAGTTGAGAGACACAGGTTTTATGTAAGAGGAATATGTGGAACTGGTCTGCCTCTTTTCGTGGTAGGGGCCAAAAGCATAAATGACAAAGTCCAGAAAAAAAAACCTGTGTATGAATATTTCATTCTGATACTCATTGAAAAATAAAGGTTCATACCAGGATGATAGGCACTAAATTATAAAAAATATTAATCCTTTCCATTTTAATTTTTCAGCTTGCATATGTTTTGTTAAATACCGAGGGAAAGCCAAGTAGTTTTGTACATACTCACATTCATTGACATTAACGCCAAAAGGAAGCCTAATGACCATCTAGTTTGACTACCTGTAAAACATGATAGAGACTTTTGCCTAATAATTCCTGTAACCAGTAGATTCTGCAGTTTGGGAAGAAAATGATAAATTTGGGGTACAATATTTTAATGAGGCTCACCATTTTTAACTTACACAACATGAGTAACACATAGGATGATTTTCTGCAAACTTTCATGATTATCTTTCATAAGGTCTTAGAATTCACCATTAGTTCTCAGAGGCTATAGCAATGGAAAAATATCTTTGTTCTGAAGCCTCACAAAAGTGGAATTCAATAATCATGTTTTTAATGTCTGTCTTATATTTAGAATAATTGCACTCCAACAGATACAGATCTATCATAAGAATATTTATTAATGTTATATGCTCCATTCAGTAACAAACTTTTGTAATGCATAGTAGCTTTTGCATTGGCTGAAGAAAAATATTTCAAATAGCTATAATTACTTTTGTAATTTTATTGTATTGTCTTCTGCCTAGATCGAGTCATATTAGCTTACACAAGCACCGTAGCTGATTTGTCAAGACTAGTGATGACTGCACTTAAATATGAAGCCAAAACTGAAAGGAATTTATTTAACTCATAAAATGCCCACAAACATAGATTATTATTTAACTGAGTCGAAAAATTACTGAAAAGATTTGGTTACCATCTGTTCCATGGCTTGTATCTACTTACATGATACAGTTGATAACTTTCTTTGTGGCCAGTATTCTTAAAAAATTGTTCTTTCAGCTTACTTTTGCAGAACTCCTGAATATATGTGCACATGCACACCCACACCAAGAATAGTCTCCTGGTTTCAGCATGGAATTAGTAGTCATGAGACTACTGGGTCTGAAACTGATTCTCAAGGCCAAATTCAGACATAATGTAATTAGATTCCCATGTACCCACTGATCAGGTTATTAGGGAATCTGCATTATTATAAGTTACATTCTGATGAGCCAGAAGAATGCTTAATTAAGGATTTTGTTTTTTGATTGTACAGCACCTAACACAATGGGACTGTGGTGCATGACTAGGGTTCTTTGGCACTATTGTAGTACAAATAATAAATATATTGAGTAGCCCTCATTAATATTCTTACACATTCCTGTTAGTTTCTTTCCCTCTTACCCTAATCTTCTGGCACCTCTGCATGCAAATGATTATATCAGCTTAGATTCTTTGAGATGCACAACTTACTGGACCAAATTCAAAAGTGATGTGTATGGTATAGATCTAAATGATATATTGGTAAGTTGCATGTGAAGCTGTCAGTCAGTATAAGTTTGCGTGCCAGGAAATGGTATAAAATACAACTTAGATGCCCTTTGGTCTTACTGACTGCTCAGATTTGAACTCAGGCAAGTCTGTAATGTTTTCTGCCTGAGTATCCTTTTATCTTAATGTAAAGATACTATTAACTGGTCTCCTGACATGTGGTGAAGGTTAATTGGTGTTTATAAAATGATTTGAAGAGGGAAAGA